CCCCCCCCCCACACACACACACTATCGCGCTAGGAACGGCCCTGAATTTGGTTGAGTTAAAGTCTCTTCTTGTACTAGGCCTTTCGGGAGAAGAGTTTAGAACAGATAGCATATAAGCTAAAGTTTCCTAAGGTCTCCATTTATTATAATAAAAGGCTTAAAGGATTAGTGTCAGGGTCATGCATTGCGGGCTTTTGTTATTCTGATAAAAATCATACAAAAAGAGCAAGTATTATAAAAGAATGGTTTAAATATATGACGGATTGTAAACACTTTTCAGGTCATCTAATCTATTCGTCCCGAAAAATGGCCGCCAGCAGGAGTTTGAGCCCGCGAATTCCCGGTGTGACACTAATCCTTTAAGTATGTTGTTTATACTTGTTTTTAATTTTCTTTGTTCATGCACAGTAAGAGGGGGGAGGGATTTCAATTCCTCTGTACTCACCCACAAGCTTACAAATGTAGTTAGTTATACATGCAGTGTTGAAATTCTTTAGAGAGATATCATGTTCTCTATTTGGGTCTACATATAAAGTGTGAGCTATATAAGGTACCCAAAACATACGATTCAGAAAAGTTTTGAACGAAGATTAAAATGCGGTAAGTTACTTTCTAATGTAAAGTCCGTAATGTAAACAAACGCTTTTGTTTACATTTTGAACTCAGTGCTACAGTTGTAAAATATGATTAGATATATATTATATACTGAATTTTTAACACTCTTCTGGTTCTCTATGCTTGTAAATTAATACAGACTAGAGATTCAATTCAAGAAAGTTCGGAAGGTGCGAAATATTAACAACATTCCAATGGTCGGGTCCCGATCACTTATTGTTAAATTTGAATGCCCTACCAAACAGCTGGACGTAATGATGCGTAAAATATTGACAAGGTGCATGTATTAGAATTTAGTTAGGAATATCTCCTGGTAAAGTGCGCGATTTTCTGCTCCTGCATGGGAATTAAAAACAGCTTCTTAAAAAGTTTCTTTATGCATAAAATTTACTTATGTCAATCATTTATGCACTCGTGGGAACCAACAGAGCGCTAAGGCATTCAAATTCTAACAATTAAATTGGAGTTTGGGTAATGGTCGAGGGTCATAGGTCGAGGGTCATAGGTCGAGGGTCATAGGTCGAGGGTCATAGGTCGAGGGTGAAAAGTCGAGGTCGAGGGTGAAAAGTCGAGGTCGAGGGTCAAAAGTCGAGGTCGAGGGTCAAAAGTCGAGGGTCGAAAGTCGAAAATACTAAATTTTTATCCATTTTAAAAGTTTTACAACCATTAAACGCGGCAAAACAATTAGTTTTCCTGTCAAAACTAAAAAATTTCGCCTATGGCTATGCCGTATGGCTATGTACGGTATATAAACTGAAAGTTTCGCTTGTGGAACTAAAAGTCTGATGCGAGGTTTGATGTTCAGTGAAAGCATACATCTTTTATTTTATATTGGAGTTTAAAATATACGATTATACAAAAATGGCGTTTCACTCTCATGAGAAATTTGATTATAGGTATAAATATGTTATCTCTTGGAGGCGAAAGAGTTCTGAAATTCTCAGAACTTCAACTTAACGATACTCCTCAGTCCTCATGCATACCGCGTCTGGTTTGGGAGGTTTAAAGCATTAGGGTGTGCGAGAAACAGTTGATATTTATATATTTTATAACATCATATCTGCACCGGAAGTGCACATGTTCGATTGACAGTTTCATATTCATAATGTAGTGTAATAAAATGGAAACTTTCTTTAGTTATTCTGTCAAAAATAACATGCACGAAGCACAAATCTTTATAACAGGGTGATTTGGCTATTAGTAAAACACGGAGCACGGAGCACACGGAGCACACGGAGCACACGGAGTACGGAGCAGTAGAAAAACGAAAATCCTTCATAATAAAATACACTGTTTACTATTACAAATTTTTGTTCTTATTAATAAAGTTTTTTCGCGTTTTACACGTCGGGGAAGTAAGAAAATTGGGCTCTTAAAAAACACATATGCCAAACTGCCAAAAGCCATAGTTGTATTTAAAATAGGATTCGGTGAAACTCGTTCTCTTACATCTGTCAAGCTTATGAGTTATGTTTATAATTTACTCTCTATATTATATTATATTATATTATATTATATTATATTATATTATATTATATTATATTATATTATTATAATGCCAACGGCAACGCATAAAGAAACACTTCAGTGAAAACACTCTTAGCCAAGTATACTCATCTTTCAATGTAGCGGATCGACTGAACATTAAATCATGTGATGAGAAAAGTGAATTTTCGGTTTATCCTTCGGCTCAGTGGACAGTGACCAGTGGCAGTGAGCTGCACGGCCGGCTAAGTTTAAACCGTTATACAGTACATCATTGACTGCTTTCATTCTTTCAATCCGTTTTGAATATTCGGAATCATTCACAATATTATACGTGTGTAAATGGCTGTAATTTCCTTGTATTTCACAATTTCTTTGTATTTCAATATTTCAGTGAAAAAACGCGGATACGGACGGATGGAGAAAAAATAAAATGCGGATGGCGGACAAAAATACTAAAATGCGCCGGATGGAGGACAAAAAGTATAAAATGCGGATGGTGCAATAATATGCACAATAAAATAGTTTGTTTAATGAAAACATTAAAATATATAAACTGAAGTAATTGTTAACTTTTGATGATATAATTCATATCTTTCGTATAAACCTTCGATTGTTCTACTTATATTTCCCTTTATTACGTCAACTAACCATAAAAACAATGAGTTTTATATCCCTTAATTTCTATAAAATACAATTCACAGCGCCATAACTCTAACAACAACAAGAGAGTTCACATGTTCTCAATTAACCAATCACGTTAAACTATATCTATAATTATGTTAAATTATTACTGTTTCCACTTAACGTTAAAAATTTCAATTTTCCTACTCAAATTCGTACACTCCCCCCATTGGCCAGTGTGTTCTATTCGTCCTCGAAATACTGGCCAATCCGGTCGTTAGCAATAACTGCCGCAGCCCTCTTGGGCGTTGTCCGTTCAAACGTTTCAATCTTACCTTCGTCTCCGCGCGCTGGCTTTACCTTGTCTTCTTCCGTGTTTGCGCACCGTATCTCCAATGGATAGAGTTTTTGTAAAGGTCTGTCGATTATATTTCTTTTACCGTTTTTCACGCGAAGAACTCGAGCACCTCTAACGTTACCGTCTCTGCCCGTCACGAGTCTCTCGACCTTGCCCATCGACCACAATCCTCGTTGCAACTGCGACTCATCCCGAATCGAAACAATATCCCCGACTTGAACAGGTGACGTGCTAGTATTACCCTTTTTCGGACGATGAAACTCACGAATGTCAACAAGGTACTCGCGCTTCCACCGTTGCCAAAAATGTTGAATTTTCTTCGCGACGTACGTTGCACGTCTTTGAACTGCTTCCTTACCGCTTTCACCGTCAAAGTTTTCTTCTCGAACTACACCGTCAGGTAAATTCAACAATCTACGCCCGATAATAAGGTGTGCGGGTGTGATCGCTTCTTCGATGTCATCGCTGTACGAGTATGTCAAGGGACGTGAATTCAAAACAGCCTCGATTTCTGCGAGAATGGTAGATAGTTCATCAAACGATAACTGCGATTTTCCGAGCACTTTCTTTAAGCACGTTTTAACTCCCTTGACCATACGCTCAAAAAATCCACCCCACCAGGGGGATTTTGCAAGATTGAATCTCCATTCAATACCTTTGTTGACCAGAAAGTTCTTCACCTCGGGTATGTCGAATAGTCTTTGAAGCGTTTTCTTGGCTGACTTGAACGTTTTGGCGTTATCCGAGACTATAAGCCGAGGAAGCCCGCGACGACTGACAAATCTTCTGAGACACAACATGAATATTTTTGCTTCGAGGTTTGGAACAAGTTCCAAATGTACAGCTCTGCTACTGGCACAAGTGAATAACGCTACGTAAGTCTTAATCATTTCTCTTTCGCCGTTGTTCCAAGACCTTGCATAGAGTGGACCTGCGAAGTCCACCCCTACGCAACTAAAGGCATATTCTTCGCAAACACGAAATGACGGTAGATCCGGTGATTCTGGAATTGGATAATGTCTCCCTTGAAGTCTTTTACAGACAGAACACTTAAAGAGTACAGACTTAACCGTCTGTCGACCCTTGGTAATCCAAAACTTCGAACGCACTTCGGCTAGTGTTTCCTTCAAGCCATTATGAAGGACACGTTCATGACAATATCGTACAATTAGAGTAGTGAGCCAATGATGACGAGGCAATAAAGCAGGGAATCTGGTAACGTATGGAAGTTCTGCATTACCCACACGTCCCTTACACCGAATAACTTGATTTTCATCTTTAAACAGTCCAAGTTGCCTTTCTAACTGCTTTATGTCCATGTCCCGCTGTGCCTCCTTCGTCCATATGATTTCTGCAGCTTTAATTTCTGCAGTCCTAGGTGGGCCAGTGCTATATGGTTTCCTTTGAATGTGATTGATAAACCTCAATACATACGCCGTAATTCGCAAGAGTTTGTGGAATCTGGATACACGTTTAGGATCAAGCAGGTATGTTAAATTTACTTGGGTATTCGCCAGGCTTGTAGTTGATAGACCTCCTCGATTTAACTTTAGTTCTTGATTGCATTCGTCCGAAGGTTGGGAAAGGGGTTTAGAAGCTGGCCATTCACCTTCATCGCAAACCAACCACGAAGGACCATGAAACCAAGTGTCGCTAGTCTGTAATTGTGATGCCTTTGCTCCCCGCGAAGGAATGTCTGCCGGGTTATCCCTTCCGGGAGTGTGAGACCAACATTCTACCGGCACTAAACTACGAATTTCATTGACTCGGTTTTCCACAAACGTCTTCCATTCCTTTTCTTTCCCCTGAATCCAAAACAATGCTGTGATTGAGTCCGTCCAGCATTTTATTATGTCAATATCGATTACCGATTGAAGCGCTGACATAACTTTAGCCATTAATCGTGCAAGGATTAAAGCAGATAACAGTTCAAGTCTTGGTATTGAAGTCTGGGAAAGTGGAGCTACTCTTGTCTTCGACATAACTAATGAAGTACGGATATCGACCTCGGTCTCGACTCTCAAATAGACAACGGCTGCGTAACAGACACGCGAACTGTCACAAAATCCATGCAACTGATAAGAAATAGAACCGTCTGCCGAGTTACTCAAGTAACACCGTGGAATTTCGATGTACCCAACCTTGTTCAATTCATCGCACCAGCTTTGCCACTTATGATATAACAGTTCGGATAAAGGTTCGTCCCAGCCCAATTTGCTTTGACAAAGTTCTTGGAATAAAACCTTCATTTCAGTAAATATAGGGGTAAGAACACCCAACGGGTCGAACACCTTGGCAATGATCTTTAAAATACTTCGTTTACTAGAAGGCAATTCACTCGCTAGTTTGATTATGTCGTCAAACCGGAAAACGAATGTGTCCTTTGCAAAGTTCCAATTCAGACCCAAAACCTTTTGCTCTGCCTGGTTTAAATTTGAGGATTCGGCTATTAAGGATAACTTTGCATACGACAGATCTTCTTCCATGATTTCTTGATTCTGTGTTTGATCTTGGTCTCCTGGTGGATCAGACTCTGATTCTTCGCACTGGATTTGTCTTCGAAGACTAGCAGAGTTAGAACACCACTTACGCAAGTTGAAACCGCCTATCTTCATAATCTCCTTCAACTTGAGGTAGGTTGCGAATGCTTTGTCGTCGGTTTGCTCTCCCGTACTTAGATCATCTACATACAAGCTGTCAATGATTCTTCTTGCGAGCTCTGGATCGATCTGAGGATAGTTCGATATATGATATTCAAGAGTAGCATTCAATAAGAATGGACTTGATGTAACACCGAATACCACACGACAAAACCGATATATGACTTCCTTAGGATTATCACTGTCCGTATCATCAATCCACAGAAACCGAAGAACATCTCGATCTGCAGGTAACACAGAGACCATTAAAAAAGCTTTCTCAATGTCTGCAATCAGGGCCACCTTGTTCGTCCGGAATCTCATTAACACATCAGCTAACTTTGGCAGAAGGCACGGGCCTTTATACAAGCATTCGTTTAGAGATGGATTGTTATTAACTTTCGCTGACGCGTCGTAAACAATCCTGAGCTTTGTGGTATTCTTATCACGTCTGATAACAGGATGGTGAGGAATATAATGTGTTATACCAACTGTTGATGTACCGCTTGGGTTGACTTCTTCAATGATTCCCATTTTGAGCTGATCTTTGATTACACCGTCATATTCTTCGATAATTTTTTGTGCCTTTAACTTGCCCACCAAGGATCCTAGACGTCGCCTACATAACTGGTAATTGTCTGGGAGTGTGTCATGAGATGGTTTCCATGGCAATTTCACCTCGTAGTGGCCATCTTTGAAGTCGACATCCTTCTTGAATTGATCTTGTATGGTCTCTTCAGATGAAGAAATCCCGATTGCTTCGAGGTCCCAAAATTGACGTAGTTGCTTCTCCAGACGTTTGTCTCCAGGATGGATGGTAGCTGTTTCATTGCTTACTCGAAGAACATGTGTGCTGGTTAAATTCACTTGAGTTGATTCAACCTCATCGTCAACTGGGCCCGAAAGAACCCACCCAAACATGGAGTTTACAGCAACAGGGCCAAGCTCCCCCCGTCTTATGTCTCCGTTCAAGAAATGCCAATAATTATAGTCACCGCCAATTAGAATGTCTACTTCAGAACCAATGTTACTTTCCGGACCAATGTCTGCAAGCTTGAGTCCTTGAAGATGGGAATAATTATGACAAGCAATTTCAATAGCTTGGTTCTTTAATGGTGAGCAAATTGTTGGTATAGTAAATGCATTAAGCTGAACAATTTGATTGGAGTCTTCTCCTTTCACCGTGAGTTGTACAAGATCTTGCGTTTGAAGCTGACCAACACTCGAACCAAACGTTTTTATCATGAGAGTTTCTTTCTTAATTGTTGGTAGATTTAATGATTCTTTGATGCGATGGGTAACATATGAC